TAGTAAAACAAATAAATTCGTGATATAAATCAAAAATCGTCAAATAAATTCGTAATATATAAATTCGTGAAAAAAAGCGCTTTCGACAAAATACTAAAATAGAGATCTATCGACAAAGACCATTCACTTCTGTCTAGCTTAAGGTTATTTCAGTTTCCGTTTTTAAAAGCGCTATATGTTGAGCCACATCAGCTAGATTTGGCATGTGACATTTTTAGCGGCAATCATTGGTCGATTTTCTAGCGTTGCCATTCGGGGAGTTGTAATGAGGTTTTTTTTGTCACCGCGCAAGAGAAATATATATATATATAGATACTAATAGATTTTTAGACGTTATAGCATTTTGGATATTTGGACGTGGGAAGTGGAGGCACAAATGTAAGCAAACAGAATTCCTTTTAGTGCATAGATCTTAAGTGAATGATTTTAACTTTAGTAGAAAAGCTGTTTTCTGCCAAGAAACAACAATTATTGAGAAGGGGTTGGTGAGCGGCATCGAACAGGGGGATTAGCCCACTTATATTAAAATATCTTTAGGTTTGAGATCGATTCGTTTAACGAAATTAATTTAGCTCATTTACTTAAAATTAATTTGATTTAACTTGACTTAAAATTGATTGATTGATTTCTATTCGATAGAAAGGCCTCTCACACTCTCTGTTTTTTTGTTACTTTTGATTGAAATTAAATTTTTCTATAACAATGAATAATCATCAATTTAAAATTTTTCTATCTCAATTGAAAATACTTAGAGAAAAAATTCTTAAAAAAGTATTTAAAATTGCAGTAACTTTCAAACAAATAAGAATTTTGAAGAAGAAAAAAAAAGCCTTGTTATGTAGCGAAAGAAATAAGGCTCTTTCAGTATGTCAAGTTGGACTCCTCCTATCTGTAGTTTGATATTTTTTGCTACAAGTTTAACAATAAATAATTCTCGAATTTTTCTTTGAAAGTTAATGTTTTTCACTTTAACGTACTCTCTGTACATTTTTATACACACATTCGTAATTTCAAGTTTTAAAGCATTGTAATTTTTGCAAAGCAAAATAAAATGTAATGAAAGGTTGATCACCCAAAGCAACAGTTTTTATAATTATACCAATTTTTAATATAGGGAGAAATTATACAGTTTAAAACGAAGTAACAATTTCTATACCTTACAATTCAATGTGTTTGATTCTAGTTAAATAAAATAATAAAAAGAAATAAAAACTATTTTTAACATGAAATGTATTTCATAATAGTATGCAAAAAAGTTTTTCGATTCGCCTTAGAACTTTCCGAGATATGCTAAATATGCTCAAACTTTCAACTGCTCTCCCGACCAAACTATTGGGACAATATTTCCCAGAGTGCGGCTACCCCCCTATATTTTGAAGGTAAGAAATTCAAATCTGTCAAAAGAAAGATGTGTTAATTCGGAGAAAGGACGTTTTTGTGTCTGATTGTGCAACTTAGTTAACTGTTAGAACTAACCAATTAGCATAATAGATGTCACTCTTTCAAATCATTAAAATTGTCATTTATTTTATGAAATTCCGATCAATAGAACATAAGCTATTTAAAGTAATATATTTTTTATTTTGCACACTGTACTTCTTCTGGTACTTGGATTTAGCTAACCATCGTACCATAAATTGCAATAATAGAATTCATAATAATAATATTAACAATATCAATAACAATATCAATGATAATAATAATTATAATAATAAACTAATAAATGAAAAACCAAAAACTTAATGAATTACGAGTAAGCAATTTCTCTTACTCTAAAATATTCTTGGCACAACTTTGAAGTTTGCAATAAGTTAATAAATGACAAAAGAACATCGAAATGCGCAGAAATGTCATGACTTTCCGGTAAACATTTTAAAAAGTAGTTTCTACTTTACCTTTAATATCCAGAACTATGCATTTCTAATTACAATAGCTTACTAAAAATATCATTATCTCAGCCAGAGCACCTAAGTTTTCCATGGTAAAGTTTAAAACCAAGCTTTTTCACAGATGAAAGTTTCCATGGCAGAATTCTCTGAAAACTAATTAGCTAGATGTTTAACACTTGGTGTTTTATAATCTTTAAATCAGGCTCTTAATTCACACAAAAATGCTTAGCTTACACGTTTATTCTTTTTCTTAAAGCACTTGTCACATCGACTTGACTATGCTTTATACAGTATTTACAAACCACAAAACATTCAAACTTACAAAAATCTTATTTAGATGATACAATTTTCTGCATTAAAAATATTATTTTTACCTGTGTGTTGTTGATCTTCAAATTTTCAAATTTCAATATGATTTCGTAAATTATATGATAAGTTTATTCGATTCTGATAAATTCCAACTGATTCCAAGTCCTTTATACAATTTATTATTTTATTTTATTTTATTTAATTTCGATAGAAATTGCTTTTGACTCTTCATTTTATTCTGTTACTATGTGTAAAATAATTTTGTGGCTACTGTGTTTATTCTATTGCAACATGTATGGGTAGTGGTTAATTTTTGTTTTGTTTTGGAATATTGTGTAATTATATAAAATCAATGCGTGAAGCTAAATATAGACGCATTAACTCTAAAGTTTAAAGCGTTAGAGGTAATAAATACCAGCAAGACTGCCCCACCCAACTCAAATAGCCTCATGTATTCGAATAACTAACTATAATAATAAATAATAAAAACCATTTTTGTCATGTAGGTTAAGGCTCCACAATTTCGTGACCAGTGGCATGATTCAATGCCGTCTGCAATTTTCAATGCGCATTGACCGCCAGTAATTCCCAGACATACTGGTATCTGGTATTCATCCATCTAAAGCAGGGTAGGCGTCTAGTTACCACTAGAGATCGAACCAGTCCTTCAAAAGACAGCTCATTTTAGGTTTTAGCTATACAGGCAGGGGAAAAAAATCCCAACACCAAGCAGGATAGGTAGAATAAATTTGGTAGATTTTGTTTATAGAACTAAAAGAAGATGTCTATTCAAATTTCGTGCTTGGAGAATAAGTTTACGCTATTAGCGACACTTTGAACATGCAAATCAGGGTTGCTTTAAATACGTGTTCAACTGGTCGTAAACGTCATTTTTCGTTAAATTTTGACATGGTGAGTTGCTGTTAGTCAAGAATGCCCTTAAGAAGACGAAGAAGCCATTATCAACAGCTCACTGACTTTGAACGTAGATAGGACTGCGAGAAGGCTGATTTTCCTTCCGCGATATCGCAGAAAGACTGGGGAGAAATACATCTACTGTGCCTGATTGTTAGCAGCAGTGGTTATTCAACGCACTTTAGCTGCAAATTTGTAGTTCAACCTGGTGATTCAATATGTTTCACTGCCATTCACGACCAGAATTCAAGGAGATATTTTCCAAAAGCATAATGCTTGCTTTCATACTGCTGTTGTAACCCAACATGCTCTACAGAATGTCGGTGTGTTACCTTGGCCTGCTAGATCACCAGATCATTTACCAATCGATCAGCAGGCATGGGATATCATTGGACTACAACTTCATCGTCATCCACAGTCAGTATTAACTATCCCCGTATTACTGACCAAGTGCAACAGGCATGGAACTCAATCCCACAAAATGACAAACGGCATCTGTATGACACACTCCATGCCCGTTAGCACGCTTGCATTCAAAATTCTGGTGCTTACACCAGTTATTAATGTACCAGTATTTCATATTTAAACTGGTTTTCTCTTTACTGCACTAACTTGAGGTCTTGAAACTTTAATCAATTAAATATCAGACAAACACATTGCCGAAATTTCGTTACTCTACAATAATTTTTTCTTGTGATGTTGGGATTTTTTTTCTCCATGAATGCATATCTCACACAATCACTCGCATCAACCTTAAATGGTCTCGCAATAATGTGTTGGGCTTGCCTAATCTATTTTATTTTTTATCAATTATCTGCAGGTTATAAATAAAATGGGTGCCGTGAAGAGCAGGCAGAAAACTAAAGAAGGGCTGAAAGCACAAATTCAAGAATTCAATAATAAATTACAGACGGCCTTGCTAGGATGTTACCAGGCCAAAAGAACTTTCATCACCTTGTCAGATTTGTGGTCAAGCAGCCGATGTGAAGTCATCACTACCATCCAGTCTGTGGCCAAGGAAATCAACCGGCATCACCGCAATGTCAATTTAGCAAGCCTTACTGGTACATCGTCCAGTATTGCAGGCGGAACTGCTGCAATTGGTGGTCTCATTCTGTCACCATTCAGTGGTATTGCCTAATTTTACACATTTCTATTACTTAACAATTAACTGTGTATTGCACTGTTTAAAAAAGTGGATACCCGGTGTAACTTTAGATCTAATATGACTTTTCACGTGCTAGGACTCAATCTTAATAGTTCGACGGCCTAATCTTAAATATGCTAATTAATCAGGTCAGACTATAGTTTAAGTTACGAAACCAGACACAAAAACGTACTTTCTCTGAATAAGCATATCTTTTTTTGGATATATTTAGATTTCTGATCCTGAAAATACATGGGGTAATCACATCAGGGGATAGAGTGTTTGCCTTCCAATGAGGTGAACCGGGTTGGTTCGAATCCCCAGCGATGGCTGGTCGAAACAAATCCGCATCCGGCTTGCACCGACCACGGCGCTGGCGTGAACCCAAAATATTGGGTTGGCTGTTCAACGACGGTTATAAAATAAAAAAAGAATTTTGAAAGTTAGGTAATTTGATCAGTAGGGTGGTCAAAAGTTTGGATCAGAGTAATTTCATTTTTTGGGTATTTCACGATATCTCGAAAATTGTTTATGCAATTGAAAACTTTTTTGCAGAATTAGAAAATTTGTTTATCCCAAGGGTAAAATTTGGTTATCTAATTATTTCTTATTAATTTAATTCAGAATATTTTTTAACTGTTTAGTGTAAAAATTTTACTTCATTATAAGGAAGGAAATTTTAAATGAAAAAAATACGAAATTTGAAAGAAACTGGTCAAAAAGTTAATTAAAATTAGATTTCTCGAAAACTATTAGACCGACTTAGTTCAAATTTTTTGTTTTCATTTAAAATTGTTTGCTTTGAGAATGATGTAAAAATTTATATGCTTCATAATTCAAAATTACCGTGTCAACTTAAAATTCAAAATTTGAGTATTTTTACAATTCACTTGAAAATCACTAATAAGTGACAATTAGTCCTAGTTTCCCTATTCCTAGTAAGTGAATTAGTCCTAGTAAGTGAAAATCCTAACATTAGATCAAAAGTTTCATAATGTGTTCGTTTTTTTTTCTGTGCACTGTATAATAGAATTAGATGTTTACATAACTGGTTAAAATGAATTAGCACCAAATTGAACTTATTGGCGAAACTGGAACAAACAAATTTCTAAGAATTCCTTCACTCTTTTAAAGTGTTGATATATTTATAACTTTAACGTATCGAAAACAAACGTTCGAAACACAAAGGATATTTTTGTACTATTACAGTTTGATATGAAATAGAACAACGCAAAAATGTGCGAAAATTGAAATTAACAGACATAAAATGACTTTTCAATCAGTGCAATCCTCAGTTTCGGACGACGATTTCAAAATCTGTGTCACGATACTGATGATGTTAGAGCTGATGGAACTAGTGGCGCTGATGATGCAAATAAAAATAATTGTATAACGCGAAACTGATGATGGTACTTGTACTAGTAACGGATGTTTGTGTTAACTACAATTATCTACACTCTTACATGTTGTTTTTCTACTTTATTCCATATCAACGATACGTGCTTATGATATGGATTTTTATATAACTATGGGAGAGATAATGCCATTATCAACATAAAATCCAGTACTTACTTGATTCTTAAATGAAAATTTGATTTACATATTCCGATTTCTTTCAAAGTGCAATGTATTCTTTATGGTAAAAAAATTCGTGACTCGTCACACTTCATTGAAAAAATAGTATAGGTCGAAATGGAATTTATATGTTAATATGTAATATCATCATCACATTCTAGACACCAGAATCTCAAATTTTTGAATCTTAATACTGATAATGCAAAAACTAATGGAACTATAAGTAGCTGGATTATATAAATAAAATCAGCTTCAAGATAAATCAAGTGGTAAAATTCATACACATGTAGAATTGCGATTAAAGTTATTTTATAATTTGTTCTTTTCTAGTGGGAGGTATTCATGGAAAAAATTGAATTTACAGTTAAATAAACTAGAGTTAAATGATATCACATAATCAAAACGGAAAAAACTCTGCTTGAAAAAAAATTTCTGCAAACGCTCTCTGAACCATCTCGGGGTCGAGTAACCTGATTTTTCCACAAGGGGTCTACTTAGTGGTGTCCGTATTTACAGGTGGAATTACGTGCTAAAAATTTAAATCAAGCATAAAAATTTTTTTGAACAGGTTTAAAAAGATCAAAATTCTTCTAAACAACATAGTTTCGTTCTACATATTTCTTTTATCTTTTAAATTCTTCTATAAATTTGCATTTGCTAGAAGAAATAATTTTATTTCTATAGTCTATTTATCATTATCATGCCCATTAATTGAAAGATCTTAAACGTATAATCATAAACTTATTTCATAACTCAGTTGATCATTTTACAAATTAGTTCTTAACTTTTCCAGTGAAGTGCAACCAATCGAACAACAATTATTCAAAAAATATTACAAACTAATAAAAATTATTTTCTATTGAACGACTACCGGTTTTATCACCTATTTTTTTAACAACATCGAGCCCAACATAACTGGTTTAATGAAGAATTCATTTAGAATTCATGATCAGTACCACTCAGATTCATCCCACTTAGAGTTATCATGATCTAAACCTACTGTCACAGTTACTTATGTGCTGCCTGTCTAAGAATTTTTGAATGGGATACCTGCAGGTGACGTATTATGTGTATCTCGAACCTGATTGGTTGTTAAAACGTGGCTTTGTTTTCGCTAGCAACTGTTCTTTTCATTCTATTTCGAGTTAACTTACCCAGTCAAGTATCAATTCTCTTAAGTGATACATTCTATAATACTTCACAATGATTTTAATTCTTTCACCATATATTTCTTACTTAACACAAAGACAGACACGATGCCATGTATGTAATATGTATAACAACTCACCCTATTAATTCAGGGTATGCGTTAAAAATCTGTACCGTCGCCGCGGCAGGCCCACCCAGAAGAGGCTCAATCAGTGCCAGTCGGGGAACCCGGCGAAGCCCCACCGTGGCATTTGTTAATATTCAGATCAGTTTATTATAAGTTACATGGCAACAGCCCGACAATTTGATTTCAGCAAGGAATACACTACAAGTTGTTCTAAAAATGCCACAAGGGATAATGATAATTAATCGTTTAAAACACAAAAAAGAGGAACCACCGAATTGAAATAAGGTCAAAGGATCCTAATAAATTAAGAAAATATTAAGTCTAGAGGTCAACGGACCCTTATATTATTATACAAACCCTTACGTATTTCAGCAATTAGTTGGCTGCACAAAGCAGCACATAGGCCAGGGCTGTTTGAACTCAGGTCCAAGAGTGGACAACAACAACTCAAAACACATACAATACAGGCAGTTAAAAGTAAAAGCATCAGATAAAAGGTCAAAAGCAATGACAAGCATAAGAGTAAAAGTTGACAGTGTCAAAACTAAAGGCCTGGTTTCTTAGGACAGGACGCCATCAGCTGGAAATCAGCGCTAACCTCTGATTNAAGACTGGCACGATGCCATGTCGAACATAAACAAACTAATTATGCGTCGAAGTTGCCAGGTACACAAAGTAAAAATGTATCGCGTGTTACAATAAAATATACAAACAAATAATAAATCTAAGAAAGAATTATATTTCAACAAATTCAATGTGCAATAGGGCGCTGCATTTAATTAACTTCACGTTAATTAAAATTGTAACTCACGCCGAACACCTTAGAACAACTTTGACACGCCATTTTGTTGATTGACGATCAGCTGGCGCCGACGTCATAGGTCACATGTGTGTGGATATATTTGATCTACTTCTTCTCGATGCGCAAGCTCCCAATTAAAAATCTTTGATCGCGAAAGTGTTACACTAAAAAACTACCAATTTTATTTTTAGTTGATTAATAAACTTTACATTTCTTTACAGGTGGTTTGTCATTAGCCATGTCTGCTGGTGGATTAGTGGGTACAGTAGCTGGCTCTGCGACAACATTGGGGGCCAATTTGGCTGAAGTGTATCTCACTAAAGACTTAACAGAGCAGGCTTCTAAAGCCTTAGAAACAGACACATTCTACACCAAAGCTCTGAGTGCTGCCTTCAAAGAAGTTGTTTTGCACGAACAAGATGTCCTAGTTATTTTGTCTGAACTGAGGAACGAAACACTGTTGGACGATTTAGAAAAAGTTTTGAGAGCATCGCCCTGTTGCGATGAAGTGAAGAAACGATTTTGTCATCTAAAAAGTGGCGGGAACTCTCTGGAAGACATTCTAGTCCTCATCAAAAGTTTATATTCCGAGGACAAAGAATTTCTGAATCAGTTGACGAAAACTGACAATTTGTTTAGCGATGCGCCTTCATTTTCACGAACAATTTCATCATCATCAGAGTTCTTCCAGGTACGGTATTTCTAATACAAATTTATTCTTGTTCTGATAATATGTATATTACAAATTTACTTATGCTCTGACTATATATAAATGTGTTCTTTTTTCATTAATTTATAATTTTTCTTTTTTACATTGCTTCAAGGACATAGAAGTAAGTATATATGTTTTTTTAGTTCATTAAACAAATATTTCATAATTTATAAACTGGTGGAAGATAAAGAATATGGAATTTCGAAATTTTAAAATGGCAAGTTGTGTTTGTAAGAATTATAACTTAACTCTTTCATTGCGACGGACGAGATAACTCGTCTTCCAGGAATATTCGTTGTGCTCGATTGTTGTATTAAGGAATTTGGTTATTGATTGCAATTGATTATTGTTTTTTTTAAAGTAAAATAAACAAGTTTTACAGAACATTTTGTTCCATTTGCTTCGGAGAACTCTAAGCTCAAAGAGTGGGACAGAGGCACGTCATTGCCACGATGAAAGTAATAAATCAAATATTTTGTATTATGCACAGATTTAAAAATGTTTTGCGAAGATTTGCATGATTCAAATATATTTAATGTTGTATCAAATTGATGTAATTGTAGTAAACAAACAAAACTTTGCAATTCCTTAAATATTATATTTAATTTTCTGTTTCATAACAATTTGTCTATATTTATTATATTAAACCACTTTTTAACATGTTTGAATAAATTTAGCAATTTTTCTATAGTGAATTTTGTAAATGATGTGTTTTAATTATGTAAAACTCTAATCTTTCGATTACTGAATTACTAATTGATGCGTATTTATTTATTGTAACTAAACAAAACGATCAAGCTATGACTATATTTATCTTTTTCATTCACCAAAGCGACAAGCACATTCTTAAAAATTTTACAAAATAAAAAAAAATATAATAATAAGAAAAATTATCTTCAAAATTAGTCTGTCAATTTTGACTGCTCTATAATTAATAAAATTACCTATACATCTACCTATATTACCTATTAATTATAGATATTATTCACCAAAATTATAGAATAAATTTTAAAAAATTTATAATTTTTACTTAAAAATAATGACAAGACACATTTAGCATTTTTTTTTTCAAATCTACCCATAGTTCAAATTAATAAATTCATAAAAATATTTTTCTGAACACGTTTAATGTTGGTAAATGTTTAATGTTTGTTTGTATTTGTAACAAAATACCAATATTCATTTTATTAACCTATTTTTATTATATTTTGTGCAGGCAGTGAAGTATTTTTTATAAAAGGTCAGAATTTGCAATTTTCTAAAACAAAACGTAAATTTTAACCATCTTTTTTATATTCTTCATAGGCCATGAAAGAGTTAGCTACAATGGGTCCAGAAACGCTTAAAGGAATAAGCGGGGCTGCGCTACAGAGCACAGCTGTTAGCAACGTTCAAGTGGCCTCTTTGACAACTCAAGTCATCACAGCTGGTCTGGGAGCTATATTCGTTGCCCTGGACATCTACCACTACATGAAAGTTTCCAAAAACTACGATGCTGGATCTAAGACAGAACTAGCTTCGAAATTACAAAAAGTATCGGAAGATCTCGCCAACGAAAACGAACAAATTACAAAATTGAGCGAGTTTTACAGACAACAAGTGAAAGTAGACCTTTTCAATGATTCGTGACTATGTATTTGTTATAAGATAGATTTCTAAAAACTCTTTTTAAATTACCAACTCGTTTGTAAAAACAACAAAAAAAAATTTGTCTTTTATATTCATAATATACCTCCATTTTTTTCTCATGTTTCTAAAACACTCAATAAAATGCATATTTACAATGTTTAGATTATGTTCGCAATTTTAACAAATATTGGAAACAGAACAAACACAAAAATACTTACAAGGAAGATTACGGAGATGTCATTTTCCAATCAACATGAAATTTTGAATGCAAGCTTTAAAGTCGGGACATAAGTGGTTTTTTCCCTCTATTTCGAAGTAGTTTTAAAATTAAGGGTGCCGACCAGGTGGCCGAGAGGTCAGTGTGCCTGACTGTGTAGCCAGTGGTTGCGGGTTCGAGTCCCGCTCAGGACATGGATGATTCTCTCTCTCTCTCTCTCTCTGGTGTGTCAATGTGGCCCACCCTATAAACGGGTATCTGTAGCAGTGTGGAGTGGGTAATGTTGCTCGTTTCCATATATTAGGTTCACAGGTGCCCACTGGGTACCGATTTTCCGAGGGGAAGAAAGAAAGATCGGTGCGAGCCGTAAAAAAATAAATAAAATTATTTGAAACTGCATCTTTGTTTGTTATAGTTACAGTTAATTTACGTCGCACTAGAGCTGCACAATGGGCTATTGGCGACGGTCTGGGAAACATCCCTGTGGATGATCCGAAGACAAGCCATTACGATTTTGGTCCTCTTCAGAGGGGATGGCACACCTGCTTCGGTAGCCCAACGACCTGCACACGAAGGCGAGCAATTTACGGTAGAACAGTTTAACGAGGACCCATACCGCACACCCTCGGTCCCTACGCAGACTGATCCAAGTGGTCACCCACACGTCCACTGACCGCAGCCAGTGATGCTTGACTTCGGTGATCTGCTGGGAACCGTGTCCTAATGATCATTCCAGTGCGGTACGCATCTTACTTTGAAGCTGCATTTTGTACACCAAAAATTACGCCAATTTCTAATAATAAGCAAGCCTAGAGCATTCTTAGCTGTGAAAAATTGCTTCCATTTAATTTTTTTCTCTCAATTCGATGGTTTTTAGTAAGAGATATTTTAAAATTTATTTTCAAATTTTTCGAACTTCTATTTTTAGTTCTTTAAGTATCTTTTAATGCAATATTTAAATTCAAAAATACTAATTTTTGAATATAAAGAGGCTAAATTTTTTTTTAAGTAATGATTACAGATTCACAATCTTTATCTAAATTATAAATTAGCAACAAAGTTAGATTTTGTAATGAGTAAACTTTACATGTACAATCTTATTCAGTTCACTGTTAGTTAAAAAATTGCGATTTAAATGCATAGTGCTCCAAAAAAAGGAAGAAAAAAAACTGACCATCCTGAATAGCTTTTGATCTAATGACTGGATTTTCACGTTCTAGGACTGAATCATAATGGCTCGAAGGGGTCACTTTAAATATGCTTATTAAAAAGTGCTTATTAATATTAAGTGCTAAAAATTTATTTTTTCAAATATTTTTCGTCACAACCATAGAGAAATAGATCACATTTCAATTCGCAATCTTAGTATTTTCGATATTTACTTTCGAAGTGGAAAATTTATTCTAGTAAACGTATTTATAATTTATTTTTCCAACTTGCTTGTAGTTTATCTATCAAATTATATTTTTTTAAAATATAAAACTTAGGATAAACCGTATGTTATACAAAATAAATATATTATAAAAATCATCCTAAGAGATACTTGATTGTATTTCATGCCTACTCAATTAAAATAACACATAGTTAATTAAATATTAAATACAATATACTCTTCAATTTCTGGAACTTCGATAAGTCGAAAACCTTGTTATGTTAATAAAATATTTTTCCCCCCCTTGGCATAACATATCCATCTAATGTTAATTTGAATTCCTAAGTCGAAGGATTTCTTCTCAAAACCTTGATATGTCGAATTTTTTTCGAAATGGAAAATGAATTTTTTCATATATCACAATATAAGTTCATTGTCCACCAATTATTTTCTACTTAATGCATAATTATTTTTGTCTTACTTTTAAAAATTAAATTATCATTGTTGTATTTCGGCTTATAATCAACTATCAATACATGCATATTTAAATAATTTTGTTCTTACGTTTCATGGCTCTACTTTTTAGAAAAATATTTCAGAATAATTTTTTTTTACTTTTTAGATACTTATTTAGTTCTGAGCTTGTTATCTCGAAAACTCGTTATTTTGCAATTTTTTCAGCGTCCCTTCGGTTTTGAGATATCGAGAGTATATTGTATTTAAAAGTTACATCCTGGTAAGATGTGCTGTTATAACTACATCTTTCCACTGCTGCTTTAAATACAACATTAAAGTTGTATTTAAAGTTTAGTAATTACTGCTGGTAATCTGTTCAAATTGGTGTAATAAACTAAGCTTGGCGCAAAAGAATGGGAAAAAGAGGGGAAAATACTGAGTGTTTCAAATGAATTTTTTTAGACCGAATAAAGGTAATTTTCGGAGAGGTTTTCTAATTGAAAATTTAATTTATGGTATAAAATCATTGACTTAAATTTCACAGAGAAAAAAAATTTATTTAAAAAAATTTAAATACACTTACATTTTTTTTCTATCACAGAATCTTTCTAAATACTTAACTAGCAAAGCAGTAAATAAATTGTAGTAGCACAAAACCATATAAAGTAAAAGAAATTGCACACAAAAACTATTTCAAGCACTTATCATTATATTGATTGTATCCATTTGAGTTAATAAGTTTACAGTCATGTCTCAAATAAACTAGCAATTTTAGAAAAACTTACATCAGCCCCAAACAGAAAACGGATATCAAAAAATCTCTCTATATAAAAATAAGAAATGGCAAACATTGATAGATTCGTGTGAATACGAGTGCAAAATGCAGCATTTTTTTTTCACGTGACAATTTGAAAACACCAGTGCAAATCGTCAGTGCTATAAGTGATGAAAACAAGTTATTACAAAACAGAATCACAGTTAAAGCCTTGATTTATATCCTCCTACACAACATCTATTCAACACATTACATGCGAATTTAGTATACATTATAAAATATGTAAACATGAATATAAAATAAGATCGTTTACAGGAATAAAAGTGTAAAGTAGAAGTTTTGATATGGAATTTTATAAATCATCTTAGAACAAAACTACAAAGAGCTAGTTTTGAATCAGAATTTTATAGATCATCTTAGAATAAAACTATAAAGTGCTAGTTTTGAATAAGAATGTTATAAATCAACTTAGAACAAAACTATAAAGAGCTAGTTTTGAATCAGAAATTTATAAATCATCTTAGAATAAAACTATAAAGTGATAGTTTTGAATCAGAATTTTATAAATCATCATGGAATAAAACTATTCATCAGCCACATTATGCAAAAGTATGTTCATATTGGGCAGAGTTTAAATATTTAAAAAAAATGGCGCAAATTCAAAGCATTAAGAGAGGTCAACTCCTCTTGGAAATTAGGTTTTAAACAAGGAAATTAATATTCTTCTCCAGCCATGTCTTCATCGCCTTCCATAGAATCAACGCCAACTTCTTCGTAATCTTTCTCCAGAGCTGCCAAATCTTCTCTGGCTTCAGCGAATTCGCCTTCTTCCATTCCTTCGCCAACATACCAGTGAACAAATGCTCGTTTGGCGTACATGAGATCAAACTTGTGATCTAGTCTGGCCCATGCCTCGGCGATGGCTGTTGTGTTGGACAACATGCATACTGCTCGTTGCACTTTAGCCAAGTCACCACCAGGAACAACTGTGGGTGGTTGGTAATTAATTCCAACCTGCAAATTGATTAAGTTTAAATTTAGAGTATGGAACCAATATGGAAAGATAATGACAAATAAATCAGGTTTGGTTTAATAAAGTTCGGTAGCATCAAATTACTTTTATTTGGTTAAGGATTTATCCCATTATTAACTATTTAGAGTGTTAAAAATAGAAACTTAAGAAACTTAATTTGGCATCAAAATTTTTAAAACATGAATACAGTTTTTTTGTAAATTTGGGTAACTTTCACTCTTGCGCATAACTTTAGTGCAAATATATATATCATCATGCATATATATTTCAGCCGAACAGACAAAAAAATTAGTTATTACTGTGTTAAGACAAAAGACAATGAATGTCACTTATTTACTGTATTTGTTTGCTTTTTCTCTGAGCTTTGAGAGAAACTTTCACCCAACTAGTGAAGAACAGTTTAATGGCTGCATCTATGCAAAGAATAGTGATTAGTGCTTACTTATTGCATCTTTTTGCTTTTTTTACAGCCTTTGCGAAAAACTCAGCCAACCCAAAAATTTGTATTTGCTATATAATGCCTATATCTAAACATAGGATAGATCATAACTGAATCTGTTGGCCTAAGCCCAATAAACTAAAAAAACGTTGTATGTGCTGTGTTTAGATAAAGGAGCGGTATTTTCACTTATTTATCGCATCGATTGGCCTTTGCAATAAATAGGACGGAATCATTCTTCTTTGTCTAGATACAGCACTTATAATCTTTTTTTATTCATTGGACTACAGTTACAGAAGTTGGCGTTATGTCTATAAAGCATTGATGTTTAGTTAAAACTATATTGTTCATGTAGAGTTAAAAGTAACTACTACAAGCCGTGATGGCTCAGGGGATAGACCGGGTTCGAATCCCTGCGATGGCTGGTCCATCCGGTTTGCACCGACCACAGTGCTGACGTAAAATATCCTCGGTAGTAGACGGATCATGGGTTAGAGTCCTCTTGCCGTCAGGCTAACCATAGGAGATTTTCGTGGTTTCCCTCTCCGCGTCATGCAAATGCGGGTTAGTTCCATTAAAAAGTCCGCCACGAAGGCAAATTTCTCCCAATACTTGAACCAGGAGTTTCCTTGTCTTTACTGGATTGGGTTCAAGATTGCAAGGCTACGGAGTTGAATATTAGTAGTCGTAAACCCAAAAGTGGGTCGGCTGTTCAACGACGGTCATAAAATAAAGTTTTAAAAAGATATCGAGTTTAAGTTGAGTTTTTTAAGCAATACAGATGTAAATCTACAGCCAATTAAGCTAAACACGTGTTATGAAAATTACATATTTATTAAGAATTTACATCTTGAAAAAACGATTTAACTTACCTTAAAGCCTGTAGGACACCAGTCAACAAACTGGATGGTTCTCTTCGTTTTGATGGTGGCTATGGCAGCGTTGACATCTTTGGGAACAACGTCTCCCCTATAGAGTAAGCACACGGCCATGTATTTACCATGACGTGGATCACACTTCACCATCTGATTGGCTGGTTCAAAGCAAGCATTCGTGATTTCAGCCACTGTCAGCTGTTCGTGGTAAGCTTTCTCGGCAGATATGACAGGCGCATAAGTAGCCAGAGGAAAATGAATTCTGATGAACGAAATGATGACATTTAATCGATCATCGATTAAGAAATACAAGTATTAAATAGAATTTTAAATATTTTTCCGTTGGATAATCAATATAAATCCGTATCCGATACTGCTAGAAATGATCCCTAAATTGTTGCAACAACCAGATTTAAAAATAAAAAAATTAGTAAATAAAATAAAATGGGAAAGAAATATAATAGGGAACACATTAATCACCCCGGTGGCAAGCTTACAAATCAACAAGTGTGCAGCGCCAGTCCTTCTATTCCAAGCTACCTCTTTATAGGGAGTGGATTGGTGACTTTCTTTTTCTGGTTTGGAAAGGCAAGAAATGCATCGTATTCCCATTATTGGTGTGTTTTTTTTAAGGTAAAGTTCCATAGCCCGGTATTCCTTACATTAATATTTTCTTAAGTGAAAGGACTGTTGCCCGGTATGCTCTTGCTAAGTATTCCCAACATGGATACTTTTTTAAGATGAAGTGATATTGTCCGACATACATTTGATTGGTGCTACACTGTTTTTTTTTAACTGTAAGGACCATTGACCGGTATTTCATACCCTGACATTTTTTTAAATCTAAATTATGTAAAGTTCATAACCTCTTCGGAAAAAAATTAACCCAGCTAATGAAAAAAAAATGAATGAATATAACAATACAAATTTAAAAGTTAATACAAACCATGACAAAATCGAAGCATCGAAGTGCTTTTAAATGCATTTTCTTTTTAGAAAAGTGATATTTTATATTCGATTTCAAAATTCTTAAGCTAAAAATAAGTTCTGTTTAAAAGAAAAAAATCCCGAAATGCATCCCTTACCTTTTTATTCAGATGCAAAAGAAAAGCAACAGCCCTATAGAGAAGCAGCTTGGAATTGAAAGTACATTCTTGCTGTTTTATAATCTTGTCTTTGGACAAGCCTTCATACAGTTAAAAAAAATTTATTGCAAGTAATAAGTGCCTTAGCGATTGTAGTTGGCGCGATAACGGGAATGCTACCAATAAAAAATGAATAAAACCCCACCGGAATCAAATATTCTGATACTTTGTAAATAAAAAAGAAAAATGACTGGTACAAAGCTAACAGGAAAAAACTGGTTTGGGGCAATTGCTTTTCTTTTTTATTTATTTAAACGACTTAAAACTCCTCATGCACCACAAAGTATAGCATGAGGCTTACAGTTGTAAGTAGAAAACAAAAGAAGAAAAATTTATTAAATTAGAGGTTTTAATTTTTATAAGAATGAAAATCTCCTATAAAAATTGATTTGACAAGATTGATTTTGGTAATATTCTAAGCTCTAACATCTATTTCAATATTTAGAAAAAGACCTTAGACGATTTTTTACCTGGGATATGGAACTAAGTTTGTTTGAAATTCTGTTAAGTCCACATTCAATGCCCCATCGAAGCGAAGTGATGCAGTGATAGATGAAACTATTTGGCCGATGAGACGATTTAAATTGGTATAGGTGGGTCTTTCAATGTCCAGATTTCTTCTACAGATGTCGTAGATGGCTTCGTTGTCCACCATAAAGGCACAGTCGGAATGTTCTAGAGTCGTATGAGTAGTAAGGACTGAATTGTAGGGCTCCACAACTGCTGTTGAAACCTGGAAATAAAGTCATTTTCTAGCTTTATATAGCGTTTTGAATGTGGGTGTAACAATTAACTCTACAAGTTAAGATATTCGACTAGTTTCGACAACTCTTTTTTTTACATACTAGTATTAAATTTTAAAAAAAAACTAGCTTATATGTTTCATTATGAGCAAAAGCTTATAAAACTAGCAAAAAATTTATTAAAAAAAATAAATTGTGATCGTCTTAGTATGATTACTGGTTACCCATTCGTCAAATGCTTTTTGTTTCTGGTTGAACTCCGTTACGCCACAACATTTCGAATCATGGGTTGCAAAAACTGTCTCAGTTCATGTTTGTCGTCGGATTGATTTTCCATATCCTGCCTATGAACGTGTTTCAAGACGTCTCAAAATACTCTTCTTCAGCATTCATATTTATATTGAAATCACCGTCAAGATAATAATTATACGTCTTGAACACAGTTGAAAAGTGTGTGGACGCCATCAAATCTAAACCAAGACCCATTTTGCCATTGGGTAATAAATTTATCCTTTTTTTTCAAATGACCATTTTTAGGTAATAATAAAGCATTTTTTGCATGTACGCTAAGCACTGTAAAAAGAATTCCGTCACCCAAAACAAAAACTCCTTTGAGAATTTTATTTAGAAGGCTATCAACTATGTTCCGAACTATTATCTTAAAGGCAAGGGCATATACTACCAAGTTAGGGCTCGTTGTAGTTAAAAAAAGTAAAATTTTAAAAAATTTCCGCACCTGTCTTTGTGAAAAAAACATGCATAAAAAAGAAATTCAACTTTTTCTCTAAGTTTGTATTTTGAAACATGTGTGTTCAAATCATAAACATTAATGAAAAATTGTAGACAATTATTTTAAAAAGAACTCGTGTTTAAAGTGGTGCAAAATGTGAAGAAAAAAACTGATTTTGAGATAAACGAATTTAAAGATTTGAAAACACTATTTTATTCAGTGTTATCGCCTTGCAAAAAAACTGCTATACTTTCGTAAATAATTACGTGTACAAACAGGTGTAAAGCATTTTTAGAAAGCTAAGAGATTAGGGATTTAAAATTTATAATAAACTCTATTTCGAAAATTGTGTTCAAAATTATGTTTTTGCACTAATCAGATACTTCAAAGTAGTTTTGGTAGTAGAATTGCTACGTACTACGGTAAAATATAAATGTCTTTAAGTCTGATGCCCTTATGGACTTCTACAATCGTTGGCGAATGTTAAACTAAGTTCTCTGATTTAGTAAAAAAGCTAAGCTCTACTATTAAATGTAAAATATTCTAGGGTCTAATGATAAGCCATAGGCAACTACAACCTGCAAACTAATGCCCACGATTTAACTTTTACTGCGACTACAAAAGTGTTATTAATATAAGAACAGTAATTAATAAGAACTTAGTGGGAAAACATGCCATAAGTGTCATTTTAGTAATTTGGAAATTCAGCTTTAGTTCGCATAAAAAGACCACGAAGATTTTTACGAAGTAATTTTTTCAGGGAAAACTGCCTTATCTAAAGAATTAGCAGATTAGTATAATATTATTACTCACCATAACCATCATAGTACATTAACAATTTTCAATGTGCTCTTTTATGAAGCTGTTCATCAATAAGGTTAATTAGCTGAATTTGCATTTAAAGTTCTATATTTCTGGATATTCTGTCATCACTATTAAAATAATCACTTTTCCGCCATCTTACAAAAATTAAGAACATTTACAAAATACAATGCATTAATTCATTTCGTTAAAAGCACACAGCAAAGTAGCACTTAAAACTCCTCTAAGGCATATTTCTCTGATTATCTCAAATCACAAGAATAGCCACTTTATTCACCAGACTTGAATCCTACGAATTTTTTCAGTTTGGTTTATCTTGTCTTCAAGGCGGGGTCGTCAATAGCAACCTCAAAAAAATCGTCACTATCCAAGAATTCTCAGTAGGTGAGTAACGGTTATTTGCAAAAACTTTTGGGATTCGTATATTCACAATTTGAAAACTGTAGACATGTTACATGCTGTATAGCTTTCAATTTTTATTTGAAAATTTGGTTATACTGTTTCAAAAGAGGGATAAATAGATGCAACAGTATAAGTTTATAAGCTCATGGTAATAGATGTAACAGTTAATTGTTGATGAAAACATAACGAATATGTAATGCAACTTAAACATTATTTAAGTCTGCTTGAAGAATTTCAAAGAAAAAAAAAATTAACTCACAGCCAATAGGATTTTCGATGCTTATTTGATAAAATAAAATAAAGAAGATAAAAAAAAATTAAGAAGATGACAAAAAAATAATAATAAAATGCTCTGAAATCCTTTCTAGTTGATTTTTAGATTTTTGGATTTGGTGATGAACTTTTCACATTGCATATCGTCAAGAGTAATTAAATCTGCAACCGAATTGATGCAAAAAGGGCAAAAAAAAGTCTATTAATTTTGTCCGTTTTGCTAAATATAATTACTTAATATGTATATTATAATTAATATGCATTATATGTACAGTTGGACTTCTATTTAAAGAACTTCCATTTTGCGAATTTCTCGATTTTGTGATTTTTTTTCTTCCAGGAACCACGAACATTTTGGAAATTTCTTCGTAAAATAACTTCCAAATAGCGAATTTAATTTTCTATTTAACGAACTTTTCTTTGAGATCCACTTTCCCTATTTCCCAAAATATTTCAGAACATTTCAAACTTTTAAACGCATTTAATGGGGGAAATGACCTTGAATTGACTTTTGCAGCCACTTAAATTTTAGAGAAAGCAGTAAAATCCGATTTCCTTTTTTGTTAGCATTTCAAACGAAGAACCCAGACAAAATGGATTTTATCAATAGCAATTACACTTAAGAACACATGTGGTAATGTATGTTTAAAATTGCTTTTATAACAAATACAGCTATGATTTTATACATAAATTTACTTTTTTTTTCTTGAAATTGTACGTAGCGTGATAGTCTAACACTGCATAATGTTTTGCTCTATTCTTGCTTTCCATGCAGATTTCTTCTATGGTTAAGATTTATAAAAGAAATAGTAGATACTAGTTTAAAAAGTAAAGGTGTATCAAATACTATTTTAATTACGTCTAGTGTTTGTGAATTTAAAACCTGTTTTGTGTTGTTTAAGTATTTCAAAAGATGAATTTTTATTTAACGAATTTTCCATATAACGTACTTATTATCGGGATTTAGCGACTTCGTTAAATAGAGGTCCGACTGTGAATTATAATAATATGTACTACTTAATATCATTGTGTATTAGTAATTATACAACTATAATTACTTAAATAACTTTATGAATATATTTTCTAAATATGTATAAAACAAATTTATTTTAATAATCTAATTAAGGTTTTAAAGTCTTTAAAATTATTAAATATTAGATATTTTTACTTAATAGTTCAACATTGCTAATTCAATTTGAATAATTATTATAACAATCCATGATTTTAATAAAAATTAGATTTTTTTTCACGTTCTTTCCACTAATCATTAGTGACAAATAAACTTGTATTGTACACTAATAATTTGAAGACAAAAAAAAAATTGAACTGGATTGCAAATCAAAGCAGTGAAATAAAGTGTTTTGTTTATTAATTCCAGTGTGTAAAGCAGTCATTATGAGTTATTCTTTCCCAGCCTATTTTTTTCGCTTCCTCATTAAACGCAGCCAAAAGAATCATTAAACACTCTTTTGAACTTTGCATGATGATATCATTCCATTGTGATCTTAATTTTATCATAGGATGCAAGGTGATGAAAAACCTTGATATGAAACATTGCATCACGTTTTTTATCCCTCCAACACCTGACGAACTAGACGTTGATGATGTGAGTAATAGTATAAATGAACTTGAACTTAGGGATATCTATAGAATAAGTGGACCATTCGATCAGAAACGTCATTAGTTTAGATAGAGTGCAAAAGAATGAAAAATAAAAATATAATTTTTGTTCTACTAATCTGATTATTTAAAAAAAAAAGAGCAAATGCTATTTTCCCTTAATATAGTGTTTCTCGAAACTTTTCCGCTAAGAAAGATTAAAAAAAAAAAATAATAAATGAATAAGAAATGTAAGTAGGTACCTTACACTTCAGGTAAAGCAAAACTTTTTAAACTATATATACCATTTTGCTGTAAAGAATTATCTGGGCTATAAAACCGACAAATAACTTAAATATTTTTTAAAAAAAGGATTAAACTTTTAAAAAATCACCAATTTGGCGAGATCTTTCCACCTAAATCAAAATTATCAAAATCAATGAATAACTCTCAATTTTGGCAAATTTTTATGAGACTGGATGATGCAGCTATAGAGTTAATACTTAAATATGAAAAATTGAAATCGCAGATCTGTCTGTATTCCTTTCTTTTCTTGATATTGAAATTCCATTTTCAGAAAAGGCGCATTACACCTAACTGTTACAAACTCACACCTAATTACACCTAAAAAGGTGCATTATATCTTCAAGAATAACTAACTGTTCAATACTCAGGAATAACATTCAAGAATAACTGTTATAAACTCACAACAGTTATAAAATAGCTTATTATTTACAAAAAATGTTTTAATTCGTCTGATGACAGAGCCTTTAAAAAATTGCCTTAAATTAGAATTAGTATGGTAGAAATGCTGCTTTATTACAAATCAGCTTAATGATAATCACTATGATTTTCATTGACTCGCCTTCATATCTCTGCGGGATCTTGCAATCTAAATTTTTTAACTAATTTTCAACTCTGTACTGAAGCTATGTGCCTGATCATGATGCTAGTTTCAATCATTTCTTGATAGCTACAAGCCGAATCTGTCGTCCATCAGAATTTTGCTCATTGACTAATCAGCTAATAGATTGATTTCATTTTAATGTGAGCTCTATGCTAGATGACAACATAAGTTTCAATAGTTTCATGACAGCTATAAGCTGATGCTTGACTGCTGCAGCTGAGTTGTCAGAGTGATGCTTGACTTCGGTGTTCTACAGGGTATCGTGTCTTTACGAGTGTTACTGCGAGATAAGAACAACTATGACAAAAACAATTTCTTTATACACATTTTACAACATTTCTATTAAACTTGCTAAAGACTTTGATATTTTTAAGATGTCTTTTAATATTAAACGAAAAAATATGTTAAAATATTTTATTGTTAAAATGATTTTTTTCTCACCGTGAATAACTGTAATTAGGATATTTTCATCAGTAGTGGGTGTTTATCGTTGTAACAAAATAAAATGGTACTTTTCCATTAACCCGGCGCAAGTAAATTCAGTTATTATTTTTATTTTTAAATTTTTTTTAAAAAATAGACTTTACCAAAACGGAAAAAAGTTGAATTAACATAAACCGAGCCGGAGTGGTTCAGGGGATAGAACGCTCGCTTTCCAATGAAGTACAACGATCCGAATCCCAGCGATGGCTGGTCGATACGAATTCCGACCGACTTATACCGACCACACGGTGCTGACGTAAAATACCCTCAGAGGTAGACGAATCATGGATTAGAGTCCTCTTCCCGTCAGGCTAACCGTGGGGGGTTATCGTAGTTTTCCTCACCATGCAACGCAAATGTGGATTCGTTTCATCAAAAAATTCCTCCACGAAGGCAGATTTCTCCCAATACTTGATCCAGGAGTTTCCTTGTCTTCTGTATTAGGTTCAAAATTACAAGGCTACGGAGTTGAACATCAGTAGTCGCAAACCCAAATAATTGGATCGGTTGTTCAACGACAGTTATAAGATTAACATAAAAACGGTTGACTTTTCATCGGTGACTTTCTCGCTTGGGCCGGCGAAATGGAAAAGTACGAATAAAATAAATGAATATGTATATGTATTTACCTGAGGTGCTGGATAAATAGAGAATTCGAGCTTGGATTTCTTGCCATAGTCGACGGAAAGCCTCTCCATCAGCAGGGAAGTGAACCCGGAACCAGTACCACCGCCGAAGCTGTGGAAGATGAGGAATCCTTGCAAACCAGTGCACTGGTCTGCCAGTTTGCGAATCCTGTCCAGAACCAAATCTACGATCTCCTTGCCGATGGTGTAGTGACCTCTTGCGTAGTTATTGGCAGCATCCTCTTTGCCCGTAATCAGTTGCTCTGGGTGAAACAACTGTCGGTACGTACCAGTTCGAACTTCATCTAAATTTAAAAAGGAAATATTAATGAAAGATTCTTATGATGTTACTGTAAAACTACATTTGTATTTTCAAACATACAATTCTGTGAAAAGTCTTATATCTCTGAGAGACTCATTTACGTCTACCTAGTAAACAAATGGTTAAAATACGGTCGTGACCTTCCCTTTTGCTGTAGATTATTGTACCACGGTATACCTGAACCACGGTGGCTCAGTGGTTAAGGCATTGAACCAGGCCCGTAGCCAGGGGGGGACCGTAGGGACAAATCCCCCCCCGAAATTCTGGGATTCAAACTTTTTAGTCTTTCTTTGAGCCTCTCAGTAAGAAGAAAAACAAAAACTGTCGAATCAAACCTTTTATTAACTAACTTATTAAGCATAATTCGAAATATTCTGGTTTGTCCTAAAAAAGTAATCGAAAAATTTTCTTCAAATCCCCGTCGCATGTCTCTGTAAACTTTGTTTATAAATTGATTATAATTATTTTGCAATATTAATTGAAAAATAATTATTATGTAATATTTTTTAATTACTAGTTTAACTTTTGCAAACGACAGAATAAACAATATTTGTTACAATTTTTTCCCCCTACTTTGCATGTCTGAAACCGTCCTTGCTTCTTACCATATCCCTCCCCCCGAAAAAAAATCCTGGCTACGGCCTAGCATTGAACTGTCGCTGAAAAGAACTAGGGTCCGATCTCTTTGGACGACATGAAGCCCTCTTATTAGCTTCAGATCAATGAGTGCCAGCTTGTCTGGAAAGTAAAGGCGATCGGGGCGCACTTCTGACCACATTGTCGCTATCATTCCATTGGTCACGAAATTGTGGAATTTTAACCTACATAAACCCCTGGCCTGCAATGGGGCTATTGGGCTAATGCTTTAGTTATACCTTGCCAAACACCAGGTCAAAATATAAGTGTTTTAATAAGATATTGTGGTTAGCAGTACTTACCGACGACAGTTGGTTCAAGATCGACAAACACAGCCCTTGGCACGTGTTTTCCTGCTCCTGTCTCACTGAAGAATGTGTTGAAGGAATCATCCCCAGCGCCCAGTGTCTTGTCACTCGGCATCTGTCCATCTGGTTGAATACCGTGCTCGAGGCAATACAGCTCCCAGCAGGCATTGCCGATCTGTACTCCTGCCTGACCAACATGGACACTAATGCATTCCCTCTGAATGGAAAGAAACGCTCATGTTAATTAGTAGAAGGTATATTTATCAGTCCCTTATTTTACTGATGAGCATGGCAGAATTGTAGAAATGTTACAAGATATATCATGCATATTGGTGAAAAAGCCTTGGCCCCAACTGTAAACATTGCCTACTGAAGATAAAGCCATTAAAACATGTGGTAAGAAGACAGCCGGGGTATCGCAGAGTAGGAAAAACATGTACTACAGAAATTAGAGAACATGGACCGAAAATGTTAAAAAACGTATTAGGCATAGTATTGGTTAAACTTTGAATGAATTGTAAACTTGAAAAGTGAATTTTTTTATTTAAAAATATTTTTAAACGATGCAAGTTTGACCATTATTATTTATTTTTAAGCACATCCTTTATTTTATTTTATAACCTTATGGATCCAATTTTTGAGTTTACGACTTCTAATGTTCAACTCCGTAGGCTTGTAATTTCGAACCCAATCCAGATCACAAGAGTAGTTCTGGATTGAAGTATTGGGGGAAATATGCCTTCTTGAAGGGCTTTTCTGATGGAACTAGTCCACATTCACGCTACATGGTGGGGAAAATCACGAAAATCTCTCACAATTAACTTGATGGCAAGGAACTCTAACCCATGGTCCGTCTACCCCTGAGGATATTTTAAGTCAACACTGTGGTCGGTGCAAGCCGGGTGCGGAATTCGTATTGACCAGTCGGCACTGGGATTCGAACCCGAGGCAGCTCATTGGAAGGCGAACGCTATATCTCCTGAGCCACCACGGCTCTTAGCATCCCTTATGAGGGAAAATAAACTTCATGGCACACCTGATCCTAAAGCCACAGTTTTTGAGAAATCAATCTCCCCCAAACAAAATTCAACCTACCCCCTTTAAAGTTAAAGAGAATATATATTGTGTAGAAATTTGAAAGTATATACTTCAGTACAGCGGTCACCCATCTTTTGACCGTCATAGACCACCGAACTGAAAATATTTTATTTCAAGGAACACTACCCCATTATCCTGGAGTAGATAGAAAGTTCATCAACTGATTAGAGTGAGTTTTTAATTGTCTTAACTAAAATAAAATTGATGTGTTACAGCGGTTTTTAAAAATTGTACCAATTAAAAAGAATTTCAAGGTAGCGAGTTTTCAAACTAACACACTGTGTATTTTCAAAGAGGTTTTTATTTGACAAAGATAAGAAATATGAGATTTATTAAATATAAATAAAGAATTAAAATGGTGATAATGATATATTAAAGTTTACTTATTAAATTCAAAAGAAAAAAGAATAATCAGTCAGTGTGACTTAAATCAATGAGAGGTCGGGAAACTTACGCTACTAAAGCAAAAGATTCGTCCGCTTAAAATTCTTCTGCTGACGTAAACATTTCTTTCCACTGATCACCAATTAATAAGCAATGCGCCGTGATGGGTCAGGGGATAGAGTGTTCGTCTTCCAATGAGGTGAACCGGGTTCAAATCCCCGTGATGGCTGGTCTGTCCGCATCCGCCTGGCACCGGCCTCAGTGTTGACTTAAAAAAATCCTCAGTGGTAGACGGATAATGTGTTAGACTCCCCTTTCCGCCAGGTTAACCTTGGAGGTTCTCCTCTCCATGTAACGCAAATACTGGTTAGTTCCATCAAAAAGTCCTCTACTAAGGCAAATTTCTCCCAATACTTGATCCAGGAGTTCCCTTGTCTTCTGGATTAGGTTCAAAGTTACAAGACTACGGAGATTAGTTGTCGTAAACCCGAAAAATTGGGTCGGCTGTTCAACGACGGTAATAAAATAAAATTAATCACCACTGCCTTAGAGATGTTAAACTTTAGTGTAGAGAAGTTAAAAATATAAGCGATAAAACATAAGTAAAAATTCAAAAAATATTCTTTTTTCCCGTTGATATTACAGATACATAAATCCTTATAGATAACTCAATTTTAGCAATCACTGGCAATTTAAGACGAAGTATAAAATAAAAATAGTTTCTTATGTCAAATGAAGTGTCATATCGCTGGTTTAAAGTTAAAACGACACTTCTGCACTCGCTTCTCATTCAAATAACATGAGAAGTGAGTGCAGAAGTGACGTCTTAACTTTGAACCAGTAATGTGTCAGTATCATGATTCATCAATATTCATCATCATTATAAATATGCTTAAAAAAAAGAAAAAAAACTGTATCCGACAAAAATATATCAGACTCTTTGTATTTGAAGATACAAAACCTAAACAAAAAATAGTTTAATACTTTCTCAAAATGCAGTAGCAATGCACAATTGAAAGTCACTCAATTGTAGCTGATTTGACTAAAAACAGTTCAATTTATAAGTGAAGAAATGTAGAAATGGTACAAAGTTGTACTATTCAATCGTACGATGACAGACTATTTGCTTGCACAATCGACGATTTGCCAGACATAAAAAACTACAAATCACTGTCTCAAACTGTACTTTAGAGAAGGCGAACAGGCATTTTTACAAAAGAAATATTATGTCTACTTTACAAAGAAAAACATACAATAGCTTTTATGAGTTGGTGGCAAAAATGGCCCCTTCGCTATGACCAGCCATTGGAAGAAAGAGAAGGTAAGAAAAAAAAAAGTGAAAGAAAACCAAATTAAATGTTCCAAGACGGAGATAATTGCTTTTGGGTTATTCATGGTTAGTGAACGGTAACTGACTCAACTGTGGGAATCATCAAATCACAATAAAAGTGTTTCACGTACTTTTTTTTCTTCTTGAGTAATTAAAACCAGTTCTAGCTCACGTTCATTGCAATAATGCATCGTAACTTTTACAGTGTTCAAAACTTAAAATCATTGAAGATTTCAAACTATAATTAAGACATTTTTGTTCCTCATGTTGTTGTTGTTGGTTATCCTCATCTGGCCTGACGAAGTCAGACCAGATCTATGAACCCGTTGACATGAATGAAATCGAAGACCAAAAGATGAGTAGATGTATTTTGTTTCTCATAATTCCTAATAATAGAGTCTCTTTTTTGGGGCGTATAAAGTCTCTTTACTGGGAAATATAGATTATAATAGAAATTCTTTTTTCGATAAAAAAAACAACAATTTTAATTAATTTTAGTTAAGGTCATTGAATGGCAACATACAACAACAAGAGTTTGGTGATCATATTAAGAACTGTGGTGTAGTACTTATCAGAATTCGGAATTGAACAAAAATTTAAAAATTATGTATTATTTCAATACCGAATCGAGCATTCATACACACTTTAAATGAGATAGTTAAGTCTGTCCTCTAATAACTAATAAAGCTTACACAAAGATCAGATGCATTTATTCCATTTATTAATAATTTTCGCCAAATTTGGCGAACGTTTGGAAACCGTCAAACGATTGAATTATCGAGTAGAAAAGGTTTAAATTTGATTTCGCATTGCATGATGCTTTTCAGTATGAGAAAAAGAAGTAAACTGTTATAAAAAGGCATGTTTGTTTTCAATTGTATAATAAAGATAATTATGTTCTTATAAGAAGCTTTATATATCTGTCAATTTTATGATTCTAAATTTCTTTCCGTTTCGAATTTGTTAAGCCTTTCTCGAATTAATATTAATATTCTCTTTATGCCGTGTGTATGTTAGATTGTAAAGCTAGTTTTGTTTTAGAGAAATATTGCATAATTGCATCCTAAATTCGTGATTCCTGCTTTAGATTGTACCTCAAAAGTAACTTTAATGACTCTTATGTGAATCATATCTTACTGTAAATACTAATTTTAGTGTTCGAAACACAAAGTTTAGAATAAACAAAATGGTTTCACCAAGTAGTGTAAAATTTGGTTTAAAGTAGTTGGCACCATTTTTGGCGTTGGCATCAATAAATCTTTTTTAAAGTATAGGGTTTTTTAATCCTTATTTTCAAGGTTTAAAAGATTAAAAGAAAGGGGATTTTTTGTCATTAATTATTACTTTTTTGCAATACCCAGAATTAAATGCCTAAATAAATTAATTAACTAAAGAACTAATCGACGTGCCGATATTCTGCTAGTATTTCAGCAAATATTTCGTCATAATTTCACATAATTTATTTATTTTTAACTAATGTAGGGTCTATTGATATAAAAGCTGTGATTGGCTGTACAGCGCCAAACACAAGCAATGTTACGAACTCTATGCAACAAAATGTGACTGTTTTCATAAGCTAAAAATAACACAAAAAGTACACTAAAGATTAAATATAGTAAAGAGTGGAAAGGTCACTTAAATTACTCGTGGTGTGACCTGTGTATTAAACAAACAAAGTAAAACTTAAAAATCTGTTTGCTCCAATACCCTTTAGTAAATAAAACTCCTCCAAAATGAAATAATTTGTCTGTTTTTAAATCCAGATAGTGATTTTTCAGCAAGATAGTACAGGTACAGGGTGTTTCGTTATTACCACTCTAAATATATATGTTTAGAATCCTTGACTAAAATGATGTAAAAAAATTTTAAATTGATGTTTTAGCATGAATAAAACTGAAACATTAAAATCTGACACACCATTATTACGAGAAGGAGTTTTCAATAACCGCCCTTTGCTACCCCAATTTAAACAATCTAACAGGTATTAATATCTTAAATCTTCTTCTTTCTCAATTTGGATTGGATTTTAACATTCCCCTTCTTAATTTACGACTCAAAAGTAGTTATATTTTTACTTCAAATTTGAGAAAGAGTCTGAAAATACAAAAACATATACGTTAAGGGATAATGGTTCGAAAAACAATCATAAGGGAGAAGAGTAGATGTATATGTTAAGTGAGAAATATTGGAATTCTATAGAATGCCTGTCATTTTTAGGTAAAATATGAAACGTGAGAATTATTACATACTTGAGAATTACGACATTCCAGAGAATTCCTAAGCAACATATGAAAGATTAATCATTTATACTTTGTCGGTTTGTCGTTAGTCATTCTATAGAATATTAGGCAATGTGTGAACCATTGATCATTTCGTACTTTGACGGTCGATTTTAGGCATTCTAT